TCAGTGCAAACCCTTGACTGTCCAACGCCTTGACATGAAAGGTGCTATATTAGGCAATTTGTTGTTTTGATGGACCCAATTGTTATGTTCAGGAGTCATGATGAGGTTTGGCATATGAGGGAGCTAAATGGTTTATATGATCTGCTCAATATAGGATAAAGTTGACCATATATTTCATGGTGGATGGAAGGAGTGTGCTTGATTAGCAAATGCAAAACCTAACATTGGTTGGGAAAAAAGGGAAATTAACAGCTGGACCTGGGAACTAGTAAAGGTGGATATGGCCAGAATACTGCACTTAAGAAATAGTTTGTTGCTGTAATGAAAAGGGCTGGGGTGATGGAAAAGCTGGAATAGTGGAAGGATAAAATCAAACAGTTTAAAGGGCTTTCTACCATACCGTTTGCGTATTTCTATGTTTCAACAGTACATAAATCAATAGTGGCAAGGTACGTCCATTCCTTACCAGTAGCCTTAAAATTTACCCACATTCAGAATCACCAATTTAAATTATTCTCCTTCTCTGCCAGTGCAACTTAATACTCACAAGAAGACCTTCCTGCTGCACCAGTTACATGGAATAACACTCAGGGCTTTAGATGACATCATAAACTAACAGTGAAACAGTGATTGATCTTTCATTTGAAACCCAAGATGGATTACTGTATCTTTGAAATGCACTCTAGCTTGTATTATCTTGTACAATACATGCAAAATGAGTTTGTGGGAGCATGGTTTTATTCTTTTTCACACACTTTTGTTTCACTGCCTGAAGGCTCCGGAGCTATACTCCGTACTCCCACAATTCAATCATGCAATTTCCACAGAGTGCTATTGTGATCACTCGATTTGAACTGCAAGTATATTGGATTTTATTCCACTGCATTTGACAAGGCATGCCCTGAAATATATTAAACATCGAACAAGATACAAGCTCAACTGCATTGTAAAACAGCATCACAGAAAGGACAAGCCTGAAGTAGTTTATCAACAATATCCTGAGATGTTTTACAAACTTGTAACACACTGCAACATGTGTATTGTTTCTGTACAATACACATAAACATAACAATTTATCTTCATATTCAGTCTCCACCTCTACAGTTGCCAGTAGGTAGAGGGGGAGAAACAGACTAAAAGTGACTTCCCAATGTTAAATAACAAAATTTAACAGAAGTGGTACTGTGCTTCCTGATTTATTTCACTGCATGTTACAGCTGAATATCATGACTTGAATATATTATAATGATCTTGTATACACTAAATAGTTGCCTCTTGCAATCACGCTGAAACATTCAAGCACCAGAAAACAATCACCCGACAGTGGTTGGCACCTCTTGTAATTGAGGTTGTCACAACTTATTCACACCTACGTATTATTTATCATTCCCCTTTCATTGATGACTCTTAAATTCAAATTCTTTAACCCCAAGTAAGTTATATAATGAATGCAGCACATTGCTCAGATACATAATGAACTGGAATAGTCATACAAGATGTGGAATAATCATACAATATATATTTTATTTTGTATGACTATTCCAGTTCATTTTAAACAGTTACATCTAGAAAATGAACTGGAATAGTCAAACGAGATAAAAGTTGTACTGTATTTGGAAATGTGTGCACAAGTTACAAACCGTTCTGATGTAAATAACAATGAGATGGGTATGTACATATTACTTACTGTAATATATCAAACATTTCCTTTCATATACTGTTGTTGAGTACATTTCATATTTTCTAAATTATTTGTACTTCTGCATTATACAGAACAAGTTATCACCATTTCCAGGCAGGGCGAAACCTTGGGCAAGTTTCCTTACTCCACACGCCTAATAATAATCCCTCCAAAACAAAAAACAATAATAAATTGGTCATTTTCAATCCACGGCTGTTTGTGGGGCATTGCTGTGCGCAATTGGCTGCTGCGTTCGCCCACAAATATACAGTCAATTCACTTTACAGTGTGTTCTGTGAAGCGCTTTGGGACGTCCTCCCGACGTGAAAAGCGCTATATCAAATGCAAGGATTATTATTATTATTTATTCTTACAGCACCTCTATTATCTTCATTCAATGTAATAAAATTATTCTTACAAATACTCATCAGGGAACTTGTGAGGGTCACTATTATCAGTGCAAACTGCACAACAATGTTTTCTTAACCTGATCACGACTAATTTTCAGGTACTGATTCCTAAATTGTCACTTGTCTCTCATGTGACTTGATTCTCACACCTGCCCCTGTGCCACTCCGCTCACATATTCCATCACTCCACTCTCACTTCTCCAAACCGCCACACAGCTGTCACTCCCCCTTCTCCCATCCCCAGACAGCTCTCACTCCCCACCCTCCCACGCCCCCGGGAGCTCTCACTAACCCCCACCCCGGGCAGTTCTCACTCCCTTTCCGCCCCCCACGGACAGCTCTCACTCCTTTCCCGCCCCCCACGGACAACTCTCACTCACCTCACACCCCGGACAGCTTTCACCACAACCCCCCGCCCCCACCCCCACAGAGCTCTCACTGCCCCCAGGCAGCTCTCACCCCCCAGACAGCTCTGACTCACCCCCCCCCAGACAGCTCTCACCACCACCCACACCGAGCAGCTCTCATTCCCCCCTGGAGCAGCTCTCACTCGCCCCCCCCCCCCCCCCCCCGAGCAGCTCTCACTCCCCCCCCCCCGAGCAGCTCTCACTCCCCCCCCCCGAGCAGCTCTCACTCGCACACCCCCCCGAGCAGCTCTCACTCGCACCCCCCCACTGAGCAGCTCTCACTCGCCCCCCCTGAGCAGCTCTCACTCGCACCCCCCCACTGAGCAGCTCTCACTCCCCCCCCACTGAGCAGCTCTCACTCGCACCCCCCCACTGAGCAGCTCTCACTCGCACCCCCCCACTGAGCAGCTCTCACTCACCCCCCAGAGCAGCTCTCACTCACCCCCCAGAGCAGCTCTCACTCACCCCCCCCCTGAGCAGCTCTCACTCACCCGCCCTGAGCAGCTCTCACTCACCCGCCCTGAGCAGCTCTCACTCACCCCCCCGAGCAGCTCTCACTCCCCCCCCCGGGCAGCTCTCACTCACTCCCCAGAGCAGCTCTCACTCGCTCCCCCTGAGCAGCTCTCACTCACTCCCCTGAGCAGCTCTCACTCACTCCCCTGAGCAGCTCTCACTCGCTCCCCCTGAGCAGCTCTCACTCGCTCCCGAGCAGCTCTCACTCGCTCCCGAGCAGCTCTCACTCGCTCCCTGAGCAGCTCTCACTCAACCCCCCCCCCGAGCAGCTCTCACTCCCCCCCCCCGATCAGCTCTCACTCACTCCCCTGAGCAGCTCTCACTCAACCCCCCCCCCCACTCTGAGCAGCTCTCACTCGCTCCCCTGAGCGGCTCTCACTCGCCCCCCCCCGAGCTCTCACTCGCCCCCCCCCCCCGAGCAGCTCTCACTCGCTCCCGAGCAGCTCTCACTCGCTCCCGAGCAGCTCTCACTCACCCCCCCCCGGGCAGCTCTCACTCGCCCCCCCCCCCCGAGCAGCTCTCACTCGCCCCCTCCCCCGAGCAGCTCTCACTCGCCCCCCCCCGAGCAGCTCTCACTCGCCCCCCCCGAGCAGCTCTCACTCGCCCCCCCCAGCAGCTCTCACTCGCCCCCCCCGAGCAGCTCTCACTCGCCCCCCGCCCCTGAGCAGCTCTCACTCACTCCCCTGAGCAGCTCTCACTCACCCCCCCCCACCCCCGAGCAGCTCTCACTCGCCCCCCCCCCCCGAGCAGCTCTCACTCGCCCCCCCGCCCCTGAGCAGCTCTCACTCGCCCCCCCCCCCTGAGCAGCTCTCACTCACTCCCCTGAGCAGCTCTCACTCACCCCCCCCCCCCCGAGCAGCTCTCACTCGCCCCCCCCCCCGAGCAGCTCTCACTCGCCCCCGCCCCTGAGCAGCTCTCACTCGCCCCCCCCCCGAGCAGCTCTCACTCGCCCCCCCCCCGAGCAGCTCTCACTCGCCCCCCCCCCGAGCAGCTCTCACTCGCCCCCCCCCCGAGCAGCTCTCACTCGCCCCCCCCCCCCGAGCAGCTCTCACTCGCCCCCCCCCCCCGAGCAGCTCTCACTCGCCCCCCCCCCCGAGCAGCTCTCACTCGCCCCCCCCCCGAGCAGCTCTCACTCGCCCCCCCCCGAGCAGCTCTCACTCGCCCCCCCCGAGCAGCTCTCACTCGCCCCCCCCCCGAGCAGCTCTCACTCGCCCCCCCGAGCAGCTCTCACTCGCCCCCCCCCGAGCAGCTCTCACTCGCCCCCCCGCCCCTGAGCAGCTCTCACTCACTCCCCTGAGCAGCTCTCACTCACCCCCCCGCCCCTGAGCAGCTCTCACTCACTCCCCTGAGCAGCTCTCACTCACCCCCCCGCCCCTGAGCAGCTCTCACTCACTCCCCTGAGCAGCTCTCACTCACCCCCCCCCCCCCACCCCCTGAGCAGCTCTCACTCACTCCCCTGAGCAGCTCTCACTCACCCCCCAGAGCAGCTCTCACTCACCCCCCCCACCCCCGAGCAGCTCTCACTCGCTCCCCCCCCCCTGAGCAGCTTTCACTCACTCCCCCCCCCCACTCCAGCAGCACTCCCCGAGCAGCACTCCCCCCCCCCCCCAAAGCAGCACTCCCCCCCCTCCGCACTGACTCCTCCTCCTTCCCCCCCCGCCCCTTGTCACTCTGCGTGTATGGGGCGGGGGGGGGGGTCTGAGCGGTTGCCATGGCAGCGCGGGCCCGGGTCGGTTTGGGTGGTGCTGGGGATTAGCTGAAGGTGGCGGCCGGCGGGGAGTCGGGGCCTAACCTGGGGAGGGGGGTGGGGGGCCGCGGGAGGAAGCGGTTACAGCGGCTCAGTGAGCGGAGAGGTGAAAGCGGGGCCACACCCAGCAACAGCGGCCGGGCCTGGGGCAGCGGGTGAGCGGCGGCGGCGGCGCTGGGGGCGAGGCTGCCCGCGGTGCGCGAGAGGGAGGGGGAGGGTCGGGTCGGGTCGGCGGCTCCTACCGATGTGGTTGTCCTCGATGTGCTCGATGAGCTCCCCCAGGGTCGGGAAGTGCTGTCCGCAGCCCCCGAAGCGGCAGGTGTTGGAGAAGAAGGAGGCGGCGGCGATGCCTGTCATGGTGCTGCATGGGTCCAGGCGGCGCGAGAGAGAGAGGGAGGGAGGGAGGGAGAGGGAGGGAGGGAGGGAGGGAGGGGGCGGCGCCACACGTTGCGCTACATTGTAGCCCAAAGTCAACTCCACACTAGCCCAAAAGTAGCCCAATAATAATAATAATAATAATAATCCTTGCATTTGATAGAGCGCCGTGTGTCACGTCTTCGAGACGTCTCAAAGCGCTTCACAGAATAGACTGCAAAGGGAATTGACTGTATATTTTGTGAGCGAAAACACAGCAGTGTCCCACATTTATTACTGTTTTGCTTTGAAGCAGTTATTACCCCCCGGAAAAGTGATCCACCCATCGACGAACCATCGAGTGCCTTCCTGTTGAGTGGCGTGGGGTAAGGAAACTTGCCCAGCGTTTCACTCTGCCGGGAATCGAACCCAGGTCTCTCGCAAGGTGAATGCTCTAACCCCTGAGCTACAGGCCTCCGGTATCGGGCGTGGGTTTAGCAGAATTTAGCATTGTGCTTTTTGAAACTGCGCAAGAGAAAACAAGCCTTCGAAAGGTGAAAAAAAGTTTTTGCAGGTTTACGTTTTTTTCCTTTATATATTTTTTATCGTGTTAACAAAATTAGGCACCAGCCCAAGACGATTTTGCTACACGCCTGAAAACACGCCTTATTAGGCACGAACCCGCCCAAACTGCCATATTGACCCCTTACCCTGTGTGTGAAATAAGGGCCGGGAGGGGTTTGACTTCACTGGTTGACCACATCCTCTCTCTCTGTGTCCAGGGCCTCTCCTCGACTACGAGGCCGCATTCGACACATTTGACCACGCCATCCTCCTCCACCGCCTCTCCCTCATCCACCTTAGTGGGACCGCAGCAGCATGGTTCGAGATCTACTGGACTAACCACCAACAATATCTCAGGAAACGGGTCCTCCTCCCGGCCACGCAGGTTCACCTGCAGGGTACACCAATGCTCCATCCTTGGCCCCCTTCTTTTCATCATTTACACGCTCCCTCTTGGCGATGTCATCCGCAGACATGGGGTCAACTTCCACGTGTATGCAGATGACACCCAAATCTACTTCTCCAGTTGCATCTCACAGTCCGCTGATGTCCTGTCAGCTTTCCTGAATAAGCGCACATTCTGAATGTCAGCAAGACGGAAGCCATACTCTTTGGCTCCGTCCGTCTTTGGCTCTGTAGGTCTGAACTCCTTAGCCTCCCCGGGCTCTCCCTCAGACTCACTGAACCTGTGCGTAATCTAGGCATCAGGTTCGATCCTCCACCTCCACCACATTGTCAGCCTCCGTCCGTACCTGACACCCACAGCAGCCAAAACCCTCGTCCATGCCTTTGTCACTTCCCAGCTGGACTTTTCAAATGCTCTCCTCGCTGGCCTCCCCAGCTCCACCGTACATAAAATGCAATTAATTGAGAACTCTGCCACCCGGATACTAACCCAAACCAAACTCCGGACCCCCATCAGACCAGTCCTTGCCAGGCTGCACTGGCTCCCAATTTCCAAACGGATCAACTTCAAGATTCTTTCTCTCATTTTCAAATCCCTTCATACCCTTGCACCTCCCTACCTGTATGACTTGCTCACCCCACACACTCCACCACTTGCTACCTCTGTTCGGCTGACTCCATCCTCCTGTTCACGCCTCACCCCCTCCGCTCCACCATTGGTGGTCGTGCTTTCAGTCACCACTCTCTGACGCTCTGGCACTCTCTCCCTCAATTCCTCTACCTTTCCCCCTCCCTAATTTAAAATCCCGCCTAAAGTCCTTCCTTTTTGATCGTGCTAACGGTCACCTCCCTCTCCCCTTGGCTCGGGGTCAGACTCTGCCACTGTTAAGTGCTGTGGGATGCTACCTGGCATGAAGGGTACTATATAACAAGTTGTTGGTGTTAAATTACATTTCCCATTTTTTTTGCAGTTTTGTGACATAAACTGCTAAAATGCTGTTAATTTTGTACTCCTGTGAAATTGTTTTCAGGTTAAGTGAAACATAAATGTTTGGTTGATGTACTCAATCAAACATTTATGTACTCAACACTAGACTTTTCTGGCTCAACTGCAGGACTTGGAAGGGCAGACAATCCTCTTGGAGTAGGGATTCCACCCACTCAGCTCCTGTTAACTCTGCAAACCAAAGCCCGAATGGGTAGGATGATCCTCACTGGACAAGCAGTGGGAAGTCTGCCAAACAGTGCTCTCAATGGCAAGCTGTGCATTTTTAACTGGTTAACTCCCATCAGTATCCCATCACACACTCTGGAGTCCCCAAGTCTTGACTCTTTCAAACTGGTACCTGATATATTCTGGAATAAGATACGCAGGATGCATCCCTCCAAGGAGAGAATGCACTTTCTATTCTAGACACGTGGACATTTCCATGTGTAGGTGGCATACATGTGTGGAACTTGTTGTCTTGTTTGTGTTAACATATTCCTATGTTTGAATACACTTAAGCTTGGTGATGGGTTTCTAAACTTGGCTGACCCCAAAAATACGCATTTAAATATACCAGCTAATTTCAGGTAAAAGAATTCATGCATACATACATGTTTGAATGCAGAGATATTTGTTTTGATTACCAAAGTTTGAATTTTAGTATTTCATTTAAGTGGCATTCAATTATATCTCTTTATTAATAACAGCAAATTGCAATTACTTCAGGAGGACATCCCAAGGAGAGACAGTGAAGAGTTTAAAACAATAAGTTGCATTTATAAGGGCCCTTCACTCAGGCTAGGGTCTCGGAGCGTCAGACACTGGTAGGGTTGGATGCCAAACAAGGAATAATGGAGAGGTGAACATAGTCAAGGTCAAAAAGGTCATTCTTCAGGTGGAATGTAAAGATAAAGAGAGAACAAGGCAGAAGGATTGAGTCGAAAATTCCAGAGGTTAGGGACTAACTTGAAAGCATGGTCATTAATTGTCTTGCGGAGGGATTGGGGGGACTGCAGCAAGCCTGCAGTGGGTGAGGTAAGAATTGAACCAGGAGAGCGCAGGCCCACGGAAATGGATGAGGGGAGAAAGGTGATCAAGGAGGATGGAGTGGTCCACAGTTTTGAAAGCAGTGGCGAGGTGAAAGAGGACAAGGAGGCACAGAGACCACTGGTTAAAGAAAAGAAAAATATTAATGTAATGAGTTTGTTATTAAAAAAATATTGATTTATGAAGTATTATCACGTAAAAGGAGAATTCCCTTAATCTGTGCTGAGTTAACTCATTTCAGATGGCCCATAAGTGTGATTAGTACAACAAGAACAACAAAATTACATTTATAGAGCGCCTTTCATGTCAGGAGGACGTCCCAAAGCACTGAACAGTCAGATGTCGTGGCCCGAGCATGGGGGAGGCGTAGTGTAGGGGTGAAGGAAGGCAGAGAGGTGGGAGGGAGACCAAAGGCACGATCGAAGAGGAAGGTCTTGAGACTGGCCTTGAAGGATGCAAGGGAGGAAGCGAGGCAAAGGGACCATGGGTACAGCATTTTGATTGGTCAAAACATCCCCAGGCAAGGCCTAGGAAAAAATAACTTGGATTCAAGCTTCTGATCACTGTCCAGTAACCCATGCTGGAGAGTAGGTGTGGCTGGATGTCACCTGAGGATACATATGGACCAGCCATGTTACTCACTAATATATAATGATATATCTGGTACACAGTGTGTGCTCACACATGATGAATGGCTCCTTGGATTAGAGGTAGTTAGTACACGTTGAACCATTATCCCACAATGAGTCAATGTGCTCAGCAAAGGACGGTGCTACTGTAGATACAGTGAACTCTTAATAAAACCACTGTTTTATGTCGTCATATGGCTTATTATCACCATACTGATAATATCCCAGTCGATTCCCATGCAAAATGTGAATAAGTGAGCCGCCTCCCCTCCCCCGCATTTCATTACTTGTAACATAAAGTTGTGTTCTGTATGCATCTAGAAAAGTGAGAGAAAATCCCTTTATACCTCTGATTCAGCTGTCAGCTGCATAAAATGTGTCATAATCCTTCAGAAGGAAGTGACAGGAAATCTAAATCGGTGACAAACAGCATGAAATGACAAATGTTAAACAGTCATTGCATATGCCTAATCAGCTGGTATAGTATAAAACCGTGCAGTGTGTGTTAATGTTGGTCCTGGTTATAGCTCCCCCCCAGTGGCCCCGGAGGACCTACATAGTCAACCAGTTTATAAACTCACTGTGCTCTTTTCCCTTGAAGTGACAATATATCAGGAGTTCACTGCATAATACTCAGCAAAAGAGAGTGATACAGTATATATACACATATAAACAGGTTTATATAAAGAGAGAGAGTATATTACAGTATATTCTGTGAAGCTGTTTGAGACACCTCGAAGACGTGATAAGGTGCTATATCAAATGCAAGGATTATTATTATTATATAACTCAGACCAATGACTTCTATGAAAAAGTGAATCCTCATACAGTCACATTTTTAAAACTTTTTAAAAGAATCAGTAATTTTCCTTAAAGTGTCACGTCAAGCCCCCCTTAATGGCTCAGATAGTTAATCGATGAATATGTGAACCATACAGACTAAGAAAATTCCAAGTTTGATCTACAGTTTCTACTGAATTAGCATTTGTTTCCCCAGGTAGAATTGCATTTGGCCTGAGTACCTAGGTTTGGGCTGGGAAGCGCAGACAGAATGATGAATTCTGACTTGTTTCCGGGAGATGCATATGTGCGGAAGTTGGGTAGGAACAGAATTTGAATTGACTGCAATGCCCCCGCTGCTGAATAGCCTGCCAACACCCATCTTTTGGTTAGCAAGTGAATAATCAACATTTGGTTAAGGAACATGAGGGCAGCCAGCTGCAGTAAAGAAAACTGCAGCACAATAAAAGGAAAAATGAGTAAATAATCTTCAGAGGAGAAGTGGAAAAAAATGACAGGACAATTTGAAGGCCAGGAGAGAACGAGATACTAATAATCCTTATTAAGTGGAGTTCTGTAGCTCAGTGGTTAAAGCACTCGCCTCGCAAGT